GCGATGAGAGCTAGTGGGCTGACAGTAGTTTTTATAAGAGACGTGGTCCATGTGGCAAAGGCCTGACCATAACACTTACTCAGAGGCTTGGGCCTCGAATCAGTCACCCAGACGCAGGGTAGGGCCAATAACCCCTCATGTTGGCACAGATGGGGTGGCAGGGGTCGAGTGAAATATGTAAACCAGAGAGAGGGCAGACGGATCTTACAGGGAAAGAGAGAGACTGTGGTAAGCTCTAGGGAAGGAGGACTGCGTAACAATATGGCAGACTCCGATCAACATTCCCAGCACAAGGATAAAGGGCGGTAAGAAGGCTGTCCTGGCCTATACATCTACTCTTTACCCTTTTATCCCATTGCCGCCCTACCATAACTTCTCATTTGTTTAAACTCCAATAATCAAAAATGCGTGCCCTTTTCTGGCAATTCTAGTGTGGCCCCATCATACTTTCTATCTACCTCGACCCCTCTCTTTCTTTTGGCTTATCCGACTCAGGCCTCCAATCCCGTATACCTTTATTGTCTCGTGGATCCGTTCCTTATCTTTCTGGTTGACCGATTTTACTCGGTTCCAGTTCCTGTGTGCATTTCACTCTAGGCGTTATTTCTCAAGGCCCTAGAAGCACGCACACTGCCGCCTTACTGAGAAGAGCGCCTAAGCTTTGATTGCCGTGCTTGCAGATATCAGACCCTTCCTTCACGGGTCCTCTACCTTGGTTAAACCCATGTTATCTAAGCAAACTGTGGACACCTATCTCTGGTCTGATGCGGCATCTCAAGTGGATTTCTAGTGTATTTTGGCCATAACGCCAAATTTCCGTGACGGTTTGCTTATCCGTCTGCTCAGCTCGCTGACTGCCAGGCTTCCAAGTGAACTGGTTTATTCGAAATGGGCATCACTCCCTAACAACGCCTTCACTTTATTGCCAAAAACCCCTTCCCCCCAGTTTCTTCCTCGCGATCCCTTTTCCTCTGAATAGTGGAAGATCCTTGATCCAGGCGTTTCCTTTTCGTTGCTCCATTCTTGTTTTTCCCGAGTTTGTTAGGCAGTAGGCAAAGTTATCGCTAATTCTACCTTCCTCCAATCTCCTGTTCATTAAATTGTTCTCCCAAAGGATGCAACGGCCTCCCTAATCTTGCGCTTCCTTGTGTTGTCCCTGTATAGAGCTCTTATTCTGTTTCCTTCCAATTGATCTCGTGTCCACTCTGTGCGATGTGTTACGCTTGTTCTGATTTTTCGCTATCCATTGTCCTACAGAGCCTCTGATGTTCCTTGATTCGTGTGCTAATTTTTCTCCCTGTTTCGCCAATGTATTTCTGATCGCATGCGTCGCATGATATATAGTAAACTCTTGAACAATCCTATTTTTCTACTCTTTCATGTTGCGTTGGTAGACTTGTAAAAAGAGTTTATTTCTCTTTCCTGACCACCTGAATATTCCATTTACTCAACATTGGCCGTAGTTTTTGAGTTAGTTCGCAGGAAGGTAGTCATATCCATCTTTGTGAATCCTTCATCGTTATTTCTGTCCTTTCATAGTCCCCGTTCCGCCTTCGGCTTTTCACGACCCGTATGTTTCTTTGTATTACTACACTTTGGTAGCCATTGCCGAGGAACATCCCTGTAAATTTGTCCAGATCCTCATTTCAGAATTATAAATTCGTTAAGCGTAGGCTTCGGATGATCATGTTCCTCATTATTCCAATCTTCAATCTGTAATTGTGATGGGACCGGAAATAGAGTATTATACCAGCATATTACTTCTTTCTGCACAATTTCTATTTCAGCGTCGAATTAGAACGAATCATTTCAAAGTCCAGGACTGGTAACCGCTTACCTTCCTCTACTTCCATCGTGAATTGAATTTTTACATCTATTTGATGTACAAACTTCAGAAACCCTTCCAGTTTTTCTCTTCTATGTGACCAAAGTGCGAAGTAATCATCCAAGTGCCGCATTAGCACTGTCGGTTGTAGCGATGCCATCTTGAAGCTCTCTTCTATTTTGTTCATGTATACATTTGTCAAAAGTGGTGAGTGCGGCGATCCCATGAGAAGTCCAAATATTTGCATCCTTTCATATGATTGAATTTTTTGTCCATGCGTCAGTTTGCCCATTCCTATGCATATCTTTTAGCATGCCACTTAAGATTCAATTGATCTTCATAGTTGGGTCCTTGTTTAGTATACGGTATGTGGTCCTGTTTCTTAGAATATGTTCCAAGTTCTCGGTATATTGGTTTCTGTCCATTATAGCTGTAGCTCCTCCTTTGTCCGCCTGAAAGACTAATTTTTCATTCCTTTCCAGGGTTTTGTGTATCACGGCAAATCTGTTACTGTATGTAGGCTCCTGATTAGTCAAGATCTTTGGAATTAGTTCCATCTCCATTTCCCGTTTTGTCTCCTCAAGGAACTAGTCTGTGATATTGAAAACCTCCACCAGGATATCTCCTGAAAGGCTTCTGTGATGTCTTTTTTCCAGGAACGTAGTTGTTTGAGGATTTAGAGGAATTGATGATAAGTTTAATACTTTCCTTCTGTCGCCGTGCTGATCAGTAAGTGTTGTTACTTCGGAAGCCACTTCAACTGGGCGTACTGACTTTAACTTAGGCTTCCAAAAAATCCCAAACTTACTCAATTTATCGTCATGCCGTTTTGTTATTAAGTCAGAAATCCTACCTGATTTTCTGTTGGTCATGCTCTAGAGTTTTTCAAAATCTTCTGAAGACAGGATTCTGGCCAAATCACGCCGTGGCTTTGACTTACTATTTATAAACTTAAGCATCTTACAACGTTCAGTATGATAAGTCTCACTCAGTTTCTTCATAGACGCCTGGTGGAAATACTCATTAACCTTATCCGAGTGTTAGGGTATCTTAAGGTTACAGAACCTAGGAGTGATACCATAACGTTTACAACAGTTTAAAAAAGTAATATGGGAAGATCGCATGAAATACATGTACCAGGGAGATAGCAGACGGATTCAAAGGGACAAGAGGGAGACTGTGATAAGACCAGGGAAGGACTGCGTAACAATATGGAAGAATCTAATCAAAACTCACAGCACAAGGATGAAGGGAAGTAAGAAGGCCAGCGTAGACTGTGGAATGATCTCATGACAGCCGCTCAAAAGTGCACACCGTACCACATTTAATTAAGCAAGTAAAATATTGTGACAGTGAAGGCGTGATTTAAGGTTATAGGAAATGTGAATAGGCTAGGACAGAATGGAAGATACCATAGCTGTTTATCACACGTTTGTTCAAAGGATCGGCTTTATTTGTCTCTTTGACGAGTTGTAATATGATGCTGCGACTGGCAAAACTCACTGACGATGCCGACTACGATGCCGGCGAAACGTCTGGGAATGTACCACGTCTACAGTCTGACTTTGGAAATGATAATGCATACAATGGACTTTGGACAAGGTGCGTTCCTCTAAGTCTCCCTACCAATATGACCAAGTTGCGAAAACAAGGTCAAATAACTTCTATACAACGATAGTTATAGTCTATTTAAGTAATTATGTTTGGATTTACAAAGAAATTTTACAAACTCTAGAGTATGACTAATCAGAATTCATAGAGTATTTCTGCCTTAATAAATGAGAGGAATTATTATAATTCGCTTAGAGATGGGATAACAAGACATCCCAGGATCAAGTCTAGTAGACGAATTTTGACGGTTTTGTTTTAAAGTTTTTAACTTTTAAAAACGACGATGTCTTGAATCAGACATATATAGGTCAAAACATGTCATATTATTTAAGCAAATTCGGTGATCAGAAAACAACGAGATGAGAAAAAAGAAGACGACGAGATAAAGGAAATATTTACAATTTAAAGTTAAGAAACCGCAAGATAACATATGATGCATTTTATCTATTCATTAAATGTGATTTGAGCTAATAAAGCTATATAAAAACGGATAATCTATTAAGTGTTCTTTACTATACTTCACTTTAAGATGGGTGGGTTTTGATGTGATACAGACTTCCAAGTTTAGAGCTGCTTAGTTATTGCTATTTACTAATTCCTTTGATTTGAAAAAAATATTTACAAATATTATATTTACCTGTTTGGGTATTTAGTTTGTTTATCGTCTGCCTTGAATTTTAATAATCTATCAGTGTCACTTTGTTTAATCTACTGGATTCCGTCTGCTGCGCGTATCTACGCCC